GTCGTTAAGCATCTGCCTTCGGCTCAGGTCATGATTCCACGGTCCTGGGATCGAGTCCCACATCAGGCTCCCTGCTCTGCGGGAAGCCTGCTTCTCCCTCTTCCACTCCCCCTGCTTGTGTTCCTGCTCTCGCTATGTCTCTCTCTGTCAAATAAATAAATAAAATCTTTAAAATATATATATATATACACATGTGCTATAAAAGTTCATTAAAGAATGACAATTTTCATATACATGAGATACATATGTATATGTATATAAATATACACACACACATATGAAATAGACACGTGTGTGTGTGTGTGTGTGTATCCCATTCAAAAAAGCCATAAAACATGGGGGAATTAAAATATATCACAGAAATAATCTTTTACATCACAAAAAGAATTTATGCATTATAACTTTTAAATAGTCCTTTTGCTGATTTTTTTCCTAAAGGCTTTTATTTTATTTTATAAGTCCCCTATAATCTCTCTCTTTCATTAGGAAATATAAAACAAGAAGTGATGGTCCTTGATCTAGAGTTGAGTAGAAAAATATACACATATAAAACAACTGAAGAACAATAAAACAAGTTCAAGTTTCTATGATACAAAGCTTAGAAGTGTACATAATTTTATTCCATTGTCCAATGTCCAGAGGCCAGTCCAAGTAAGAGATACCATCTATACAAAGGCACAGAAAAGGATAGAATCATGCATGCATATTTCAATATACCTATTGTATAATACAGGAGCAGTATAGTAAAAGGGGCAGAGGCCTGGTGAAGAAATAATGAGACAGAGCTCAGAAGGGAGGAGAACTGGTATCTAGATCTATATATTAAACATATCAAAACCAAAAATTAAGTTGAAATCGTTTCATAAATTTCTACCTAATTTAAAAGTCTGGTTATCAGTTTGTCATATGCAGAATTTACCATTTCCAATTGTGATTGTGTTTTTCTATGTCTTCATTTAACTAAATCTATGCTGGGCACCACCAAAGCAAAGAATGTGGTATATTCTTTTTTGTTTTAATTGTTTAACTGACAGCCAACATAATGCTCTCATTTTTAAGGCAATGAAAGAGCAAAGTTGTCCATTCTTGCTCTGACTCCACAGTCAAAAGCAGCTGGAGTTTATACAAAGGTTCAGACAGTTCAGACCCAACTGGAGCAGGTTATTTCCTTTTCCACTCTGACTGTGAAAGACCCGGTGCCAGGTTATCATCTCCAGAAAACATCTATGCCAGAAAAACCTGCAGATAGAGACTTTTTTTTTTTTTTCTTTCTGAATTGTTAGCTGGTCTTGCAGCACATTTTGAATGTAACCTTTTTAATCCCTGCATTTGCAATTAGAGATTAAAATTCCATTCCAAGAGCCATTCGGCAGATGGCAAAGCATGAAAAAACTGAAGGTAGTTTAAAATTGTATTTATACAGAACACCAGATGAATTTGCCAGCCTGTTTCTTCCTGAGTTTATATATTCACTTGTGAAAATTGATTGTTTAAGATGTAGATTTCATTTGCAGGGATTTAGCATTTTTATAGGATTTTAAAGCATCAATTAATCCATCTCTTTTGTTCAGCACAGTTGCTTTAAATATGGAAGTAAAATCTATATTTAAAGCAACTGCTTGTTAAGAAGATTAAGTCACCTGCGCAAGGGTCACCAAGGTAGGTTCAGAAAGCCCACACGATAATAAAATGGACAGGCCACCAACCAATGCATCTATTAAGTGGAAACCCCATCACACCTTAGGCCATGTAGGCAGTCTGATTCTTAATTAAGATTTTTTTCCTGGGGCGCCTGGGTGGCTCAGTTGTTAAGCAGCTGCCTTTGGCTCAGGTCATGGTCCCAGGGTCCTGGGATCGAGTCCTGCATCAGGCTCCCTGCTCAGCAGGGAACCTGCTTCTCCCTCTGCCTCTCTCTCTCTGTCTCTTATGAATAAATAAATAAAATCTTTAAAAAAAAGATTTTTTTTCCTTTAGATTCCTCCAAGAGCTTTTGTGAAAATCCTTATGGTTTTAAATGTTTACTGACATTTAACAGATTCAGAGAGATGCACAAATCATAAATATATAGCTTAAGGAATTTTTTAGAAGTGAGCATACCCACATAAACACCTCCCAGAACAAGAAATAAAAAATTACTCCTACTCTGGAAGCCTTCCTTGTGCTCCTTCCCAAGTTACTTCCTCCCCAACATAACCACCATTCTAATTCTAGCATCAAAAATTACATTATATCTTACTGAAATTCATGTAAGTAGACTCATACAGTATTGACCAATTTGTGTTTGCCTTTATTCACACATTTTGTTTAAGATTCATCCACTCTACTGCATGCAGGGATATATTTGTTCATTGTCACTGCTGTATGTAAGTTTATTTCATAAATATTTCACAATTTATCTATTTACTATTGATGAGGTTTGGGATTTTTCTAGTTCGGAGGGATTATAAATAGTGCTTTTATGATCATTTTTAATACATGTTTTTGGTGAACATATGTATGCATTTCCGATAGAATTAGAATTAGACCTACTTGTGGAATTGGTCACAGTTTTCCTTGACAGCACTGGACATTGTTGGTCTTTTTCACTTTAGAATCTGGTGAGTATATAGTGGCTTTGTATTGTAATTTTAATTTGTACTTCCCTGATAACTAATTGAGCACATTTCCATAGTTATTTGCAAAGTGTTTGTTGAAGTCATTTGACCATCACTAATTCATCTTTTTAAAAAAATTTCCACTGGATGCAACTCTCTTGAGATAAATGTATTGCAAATAATTTCTTTTTTTTTTTTTTAAGATTTTTATTTATTTATTCATGAGAGACAGAGAGAGAGAGAGGCAGAGGGAGAAGCAGGCTCCCAAGGAGCAGAGAGCCCAATGAGGGACTCGATCCCAGGACCCCAGGATCATGACCTGAGCCGAAGGCAGACGCTTAACCATCTGAGCCACCCAGGCGCCCTGCAAATAATTTCTAACCTGTGGTTTGCTTTTCTACTCTCTTGGGTTAACAAGTTCTTAATTTTTAAAAAATTCAATTCATCAATAATTTCTTCTGTATGCATAGTGCTTTTTATGTATTGTTTTATATATCATTGCCTCTCTTAAGTTCACAAAGTAAACCATGCTATATTCTAGAATACTGTTTTAACTTTTAAATTGAATCAACAATCCAAATTTATTTTTGTATATTGTGTCAATAGGGAATAAAATCATTATTTTCCATTTAGCTATGCCATTGATCCAGCACCTTTTATTGGAAAAACCACCCTTACTCCTTACCCTCAATGCATGGCAGTGACATCTTCTTCACAAATCAATTGATCTTGTATATGTGGGTGTATTTCTGGACTCTACTTGTCTATCCTGCGTCAAAACTATACCATTTAATTGTGTAGCTTTATAAGTCTCACTATCTGGTGGAGTAAGTCTTCCAATTTTGTTCTCATTCAATAATAATTCCTTGACTATTTTGGTCCTGTGCCTTTCCATATAAAGAATCACTTACGAATTTCTACAAAAAAAGTATAACCTGCAGAGATTTTGACTGAAATTATATTGCAAATAGATTATTTTGGTGAAAACGGGCATCTTTGCAATATTTTCATTCCATTAATATAGTATATCCATCTATTTATTGACCACTTTCTCTCAATAATATTTTGTCATTTTCTATGTAAACATACATCATTTAATAGGTTTAGTCTTATTTACTTTGTTCTGCTATTATGTATTCTGTAGCTTCAAAATTTTATTTTCTGATTGTTTACTGCTGATATTTAAAAGTGTGTTTTTGTGTGTGTGTGTGCGCAAGCATGCGCACATGCTTGTCTTGACTTTGATTTCAGAGAATTTGCTAATTTAATTCTAATGGTTTACCTGTAGACATTTTTGGATATTCTCAGCATACAATCCTTTTTGTAAATAATGACTTTTTTTCCTTATTTCATCAATTTATACCTTTTATTTCCTTTTCTTTCATTATTGCTACTGGCTAGAACTTCCAATAAAATGTTAAAAGAAGTGGTCACAGGGGCATCTTTGTTTTATTCTGGATCTAAGGGGAAAATAGTTCAATAATTCATCCTAAATTAAGATGTTTATTATAGGTTTTTTATATTCTATAAAATTATGTAAGCTCCCCTTTATTCTTTTTTTTTTTAAAGATTTTATTTATTTATTTGAGAGAGAGCTAGAGAAAGAGAGAGAGAGAGAACACAAGCAGGGGGGAGGGGTAGAGAGAGAGAAACAGACTCCTCGCTGAGCAAGGAGCCTGATGCAGGACTCTATCCCAGGACCCGGGGATCCTGACCTGAGCAGAAGGCAGATGCTTAACCAACTGAACCACACAGGTGCCGCAGCTCCCTTTTATTCTTTATTTATGTTGAGGTTTTTATCATCTATATGTGGTTCACCTTTATCAAATGCTATTTTTTAATTTATTGTGATAATCATGCTTTTTTCTTTTTAACTCTATAAATGTGGTGAAGATCAGTGATTACTCTTGAAATATTATACCTTGTATTCTTGAATGAAATACTATTTCATTATACTAGGTAATATTTTACACATTGCTTATTTTGGTTTCCTAATATTTTCATAGCATTTTTCACTTATGTCACATAAAAAGGTTTGGTCCATAATTTTACTATCCTGTAATGCCCCTGACAAATTTTGACACCATGACTACGCTAGTTTTATAAAATGAGTTCATAAAAATTCTCTCTTTTTCTATCCTATGGGTAAGGCTAGTGATATTTCTTTCTTAAATTTTTTGGAAGAATTTACTGAAGATCTGTGTGTCTAATGCTCTCTTTTATAAAATTTTAGTATTAATTTATGTATATATTTTTGAGGGTTCATGTTTTTCCCTTAATATAGAAATTTAAAAATTTCTATTTCTTCTTGTATCATTTTTGATAACTGTGTTTTTTTAAGCTTTACCCATTTCACCTAAATTATAATATGTATTGTTAAAGTTTCTTGTTTTGTTTTGTTGTTAGGTAAGCTCTACACTGGACATGGGGCTTGAACTCATCAACCCAAGATCAAGAATCACATGTTCTGACTGAGCCAGCCAGGCTCCCCTGAAGTTATTTTATATTATCTGTTTTATATTTCAATGTCTGTAGGCTCTGAAGTGCTTTAATTTTCTTTATTGCTGATACTGACAATTTGGGCTTTCTCTCTGTTTTTCTTGATTAAAAGTATTTTAATTATATTAGTTTTTTCAGAAAAGAAGACTGGCTTTACTGATTTTTCCCTATACAAATTTACTGTTTTATTACTTTTTCTTATCTATTATTTCCTTTCCTTTCTTTCAATTTATCTCCTGTTTTCTTCTCTCATTTTTAATTTGATAATAAAATTATTCTTTTCAATTTCTCTTTCTCTTTTAAGAGAATATATATATACATTTAAGGCTACATAATTCCCTATAAGTATGGCTAGAGCTGTATCTCACATGTTTTTATAAGTAGTATTTTTTATCACTTAGTTTGAAATGTTTTCTAAATTTTGTTTTAATTTCTTCTTTGACCCAAGGATTATTTAGAAGTATAACTTAAGTTTTTAAAGATTTTTTTTTTGTTATTGATCTCCCACTAATTTCAGTCTGGTTGGAGAACATACTCTATATATAATTGTAATCTTTGGAATTTGTAAGGATTTGCTTTAGGAACCAACATATGGTCTGTGCATTTGAAATAAATGAACCCTATAGTTATTGGTATAGTGTTCTACAGGTATCAATTACATCATGCCATGCATTGATAAAATTTTATGTATTTCTACTAATTTTCTATTATATGTATTGAGAGAGGTCTGTCAAAATCTTCAACTATCCAATGTGAAGTGGACTACTTTTTGATACTTTTCTTTACGTTATTGTATACCCAAAAAGAGAACCATTATGTTTTTCTACTAAATTGATCTTTTTGCAATTATGAAATGTCTGTAGATCCAGCAATTTTTTTTATGGTCTACTTTTTCTGAAGTTTGTATGACAGCATTCTATTATACGTGGTTTGCTTCTTCTATTTTATTTAATCCTTTTATTTCAATATTACTTTGTCCTAATATTTATGGTATATCCCTTATAAATAGTATATAGGCAGGGCTTGCTTTTTATCCAGACTGACAATGTTTATTACTTGGGTGACTTAGTCTACCTACATTTAACGTGACTTAATATATTTGGGTTTATTTACTCCCTTATTCTTTGTTTTCCAATGGTCCTATCTGTTTTTTATCCTTTTTTTCTTCCTTCCTGAATTCTTGTAAAGTAACCAACCATATTTTATTCCATCGTCACCCACCATTAGCTTTTTAGTTACCCAATATTTATTTTTTTTAATTACCTAAAGAAAACAAAACAAATGAACAAAGGGAAAAAGAGAGAGAGGCAAACCAAGAAATAGTCTCTGAACTATAGAGAACAAACTGATGGTTACCAGAGTAGAGGTGGGGGGGGAGACATGGGAAATAGGTGATGGGGATTAAGGAGCACACTTGTGATTAGCATCAGGTGTTGTATGGAAGTGTTGAATCACTATACTGTACACCTGAAACTAATATTACACTGTATGTTAACTGGAATTTTAAAAAAAAGTTTTTAAAAAATTACCTTAAAGATTATACTACCATTTTGGCCAATAAATTCTACTATAAGTTAGTACTTTTGCACTACCAGGACAATGCACTCTTTAAATCCATTTACTCCTCTCCACTCTTTTATATAATTGTCATCTGTTGTTATTCCAATAATATTTATTGTTTTGTAAATCAATATAAATTTGGATTTACCCACATATTTACTTTTATTGTTCTTCATTATTTACCGAATTTTCACACTTTTATAAGAGATGATTGTCCTTCTCCCTGAATAACTCCTCTAAAATTTTCTTTTACTATGAGTCTGCTGACAATAAATTCCTTTTCTCCTGAAAATATTGTTTTCTTCACATTTTTTCTTCAAGTTTTTATTTAAATTCCAGTTAGTTAACATATAGTGTAATATTAATTTTAGGTGTAGAATTTAGTGATTCATCACTCACATACAACACCTAGTGCTCATCACAAGTGCCCTCCTTAATCCCCATCACCCATTTAACCCAGCCCTTACCCATCTCCCCTCCAGTAACACTCAGTTTGTTCTCTACAGTTAAAAGTCTCTTTTCTGGTGTACTTCTCTCTCCTTTTTCCCCTATGTTCATCTGTTTTGTTTCTTAAGTTTTCTTCATTTTTGATTTTTAAAGTTAGAAGTTATTTCCTTTCATTACCTTAAAGGTATTATCTTAATGTCTTCTGGCTTCCATCACTTGTGCTAAATATTTATTCATCACTTATTGTTGTACCTTTGGAATTTTTTCCTAGATATTTTTAAGATTTTCTCTTAATCTTTGATTAGATTATAATGAAGATATGTGTATGTATATGTGTGTCTGCTTTTTATTTTGAAAATTTATACTGCTGGGTGTTTAGAGAAAACCTTCCTAAATCTGCACTCATAGCAGATTTGGAATATTCCTGGCCATTATATTTTTAAAGACGGCATGTATCTTATTCAATTCTCTCTTCTCCTTTTAGAACTTTCCACATTTGTTAGACCTTTTTGTACTATCCCATGTATCTCAAATGTTCTTGTATATTTTCCCTAATAGTTTCTATCTGAACATTTTCAATTCATCTGTCTGTAGTAAGTTTTATCTTCTGCCATTAAACCAAACTCCTGGGTTTATAACTGCCACTTTATTTTTTTAATTCTAGAACTTCCATTTGATTAATCATTATTGATTCTAATGTTTTATTCTCCACATTCTTATTTTTTTTAACATAACAACAAACTATTTTAAAGTCTTGAACTCCAAATTTTTGTACTGCTAAAATCAGATTCTGATAGAAACTCTGCTTAGATTTTTAGCCTCCCTTCCTCTATGGTGGGCCTTTTTAGCCTTCTGGCTTACCCAGAATATGTCTCCATTGGGAAAGAACCACATAATGCCAGGTCCATTGGATTGTTGTTGTTCTCTTCTCTCTAGAAACTTGGCCTCTCAAGTCCTGACTTCCTTAAAGCCCCAAACTCTGTCCTTTATCTACTCAACCCCAGAAGACATGCAAAAGGTCTCTGCACTGTACCCATCCCACTCAGGAAAGAAAGAACACTTTTAAGGAGAAGTAGAAGAGAGTGTTAGGCTTACCTCACCCTTTTCAACGGGCTCTGTAATCCTCAAGTCCTGAATATTCTGGTTCCTTTAAAATGACTTTTGTATTCCTTACTCAGCTTTTATAACTGTTCTCCATAAAAGACTGGTCACATACAAGCTATTCTATCATAGCCAAAGGGAGAAATCACCTATCTTAGACTTTTGCAAAACTTCAAAGTTTGAAGCTATAAGACAGACTGGGAGAAAAATCAGTGTATCTCTGGTCACTTCTCATAATTGAAAAAAAAAAAAATATTACAGATTCAAAAGTGTAAACTGGTAATCAGTTTGGGGGGAAGAGAGGGATTATAATATGTGGAATAAAGGACCTATTTTTAAATCCCAGTAATGAGATTCAATAGCTCTAGGGCCATGGCTAGTCACATAAGCTTCCTAACTACTGGTTTTCATCTATATATAAAAGTAAAAATTAATGAGATTAAATGATGTTTAGGATGAAAATCATTTATAAATTGAAAGGCAAGATACCAAAGAAATTCAGAAAGTTTCAGACATATTTTTATGCAAAAGGATCAGAATTTGACATACACTAATCGGCTCCACATGTAAAAGCAAGCCTTTTGTGGGTTCTGGGAAGTTATTTTTCAATGGGTTTTTTATTTACTCAAAACATACCTAACTAAAATATGATGTATGTAAAAGGAAAATAGAAAAATGAATAGACTATGACAAATAAAGAGATTAAGCTAATAATTAAAAAAAAATACCCACAAAAAAATACCAGGTACAGATGATTTCACTGGTGAATTCTACACTTAAAGAATCAAAAAGACATCATAAGATAAGAAAACCATGGACCATTATCTCTTAAGAATACAGACATAAAAATCTTCAACAGAAATATTAGCATACCAAATCCAACAACATATAAAAAAGATTATACACCACGACCAACTGGATTTTATCCCAGGAATGCAAAGTTGGTTTAATACAGAAAAATCTATTAATGTGACAGACCATATCAACAGATAAAATTAAAAGCCAAAAACCATATAATCAACACTAAATTGCAAAAAAAGCATTTGACAAAATCCAACACTATTTCACAATTAAAAAAAAATCTAGGCATAGAAGGAAACTATCAACTATCAGCATGATAAATATCATCCATGAAAAACCCATAACTAACTACTAGTTAATTATGAAAGACTGGATGCATTCCTCTAAAAATCAGCAACAACACAAGATGTCTGCTCTCTTCCACTAAACACTGTTCTGGTAGTTGTAGCCAGGGCATTAGGACAAGTAAATAAAAAGATATCTAAATTAGAAAAGAAGAAATAAAATTATCCCTACTCACAGATGACATGATATTGCACATAGAAAGTTCTAAGTAATCTACTCTTAGAACTAATAAATTAGGGGGCAGAGCAAGATGCTGGAGGAGTAGGAGAACTAAATTTCGTCTGGTCTCAGGAATTCAGCTGGATAGGGATCAAACCATTCTGAATACCTACGAACTCAATAGGAGATCGAAGAAAAGAATAGCAGCAACTCTCTGAACAGAAAAGCGACCACTTTCTGGAAGGTAGGACCTGCGGAGAAGTGAATCCGAGGATATTCTGGAGGATAGATGGCAGGGGAGGGGGCCTCCGTAGGCCACTTCTGGCAAGTGATAGAGTCGCGGAGCACAAAATCGGAACTTTTAGAAGTCTGCTCCGCTGAGGGACGTCACTCCGGTGGCTAAACGAGGGGTGGAACCCTCGCGGGACAGTGTGGTCTCAGGACCCTCAGGGTCACAAAAAGACCGGGGGTGCCTGAGTGCAGCAGAGCTCCCAGATTGGAGCAGGGAAGCCGGCTGCAGAGACGGGAGCCGAGGCGGGGGCTCTCAGCTCAGGTTGCCATAAACTGTGATCCGTGGCACAGTCGGACCACTGCTCCTCCAGTAGGGACCCAACAAGCAGCAGATCCGGGAGACTCACCTTCCTCCCCCGGGAGAAGCGGTTCAGGAGCACACCGCAGGTATCTGCTGGGTTTGGAGACTCCACACAGGGTTG